GTAAATCAAAACCTTAGCCGGGTGTGGTCACACACCTGTAGTTCTGGCTACTTGGAAGGCTGAGGCAGAAGGATTGCCGGGGCCCAGCAAGTCAACGCTGGGGTGGCCGTGAGTGTGCCACTGCATTTCAGCCTGGGCAACAGAGTGAGACTCCAACTCAAAAAAAAAAGAAAAGAAATTTTGGTGAACTGAAGAAATTCATATACAAATAAAACCACAAGAATGTCATTATGGCAAATAGTTAAATTTTCATCTAACCTCATAATGTTGTACTTTCTTTTGGAGGAGCATCAGAATTCAGTGCTTATTGTTGAATCGTTTGTCAGTACTTATGCCTTAACATCTATAAATTCTGCTTACAAGTTTAGAACCAGGACAGATATAACATGAACTGCACAATGTAAAACCATGGATTCAACTGGCCATGGATCAAAAATTCAGAAAAAAATGGATGTTTAAGTTTGAACTAAACATGTACAAATTATTTATCTTGTAATCATTCCCTAAACAATACAGTATAACAATTATTTATATGGCATTTACATTGTTTTAGGTATGATAAGTAATCCGGAGGTGATTTAAAGGATATGAGAGGATGTGCATAGAGTATATGCAAATACTATACCATTTTATAGAGGGCACTTAAATAAAGCAAAACCCACCCAAAGAAAATAGAAGAAATAATGTAAAAAGCAATAGCAGAAAATAATAAAATAGAAAATAAGCATATAATCAAGTGACAAAGCTAAAAGTTTTTTTCTTTGAAAAATAGAGTAATATTGATAAACCCCTGTATGAATGATTAAGAGAGAAGATACAACCTGAAGGATAAAGAGGACATCACCACAGATCATATAGATATTAAAAAGAAATAACTTTATTTTTAAAATTCATAAAACAATATTCTGAAAACCCGGAAAATCTGATGCCAGACAATTTTAAAATTAAAAAGAAATGGACAAATTCCTATAATAATCAGTACACAGAATCTGACACAAAAAGAATCTACAAAGAACTCAAAACAAATCAGCAAGAAAATAAACAACCCCGTTAAAAGGTCAGCAAACAACAAGAACAAACATCTCTCAAAAGGAGATATACAAATGTCTAGCAAACATATAAAAACATGCTCAATATCACTAATCATCAGGGAAATGCAAATTAAGACCACAGTAAGATACCACCTTACACCAGTCAGAATTCCCATTGTTAAAAATCAAAAACAATACTTGTTGGTGCAGATGCAGTGAAAAACGAATGGTTATACACTGTTGGTGGGAGTGTAAATTAGTACAACCTCTACAGAGATAGGTATGGAGATTTCTCCAATAACTCAAAGTAGACCTACCATTCTGTCCAGCAATCCCACTACTAGGTATCTACCTAAAAAGAAAAGAAGTTACTGCACAAAAAAGGCACCTGCTTAATATATGCACTCACATGTTTACTGCAGCACAATTCACAGTTGCAAAAATGGGAATCAACTTAAATGGCCATCAGCTGATCCGTAGATAATGAAACTGTGGTGTACACACACACACACACACACACACACACACACACACACACACACAGCCACAAAAAATGAGACGATGTCTTTTGCAGCAACTTGGATTGGAATTGGAGATCCTTAGCCTAAGTGAACTAACGCAGGAATGGAAAATCAAATCCCGCATGCTCTCATTTATACGTAGGAGCTAAGCTAAGGGTCTGCAGAGGCATATAGGATGGTAGGGACATTGGAGACCCAGAAGGTAAAGGTGAGAAGGAAGGGAGGAATGAAAAATCACCTATTGGGAACAATGTGATGGGTGCCTTTCATAAAGCCCAGCCTACCACTATACAATGCATCCACGTAACCAAAAACCATTTGTACCCCTAGAGCTCTTGAAATTTTTAAAAAGATAAAATTAAAAATGAGATATAGAATTCAGAATAATCATATAACTATTAAATAAATTTAAAATCTTCCCGTACATTTCTTATTTAAGAGAGAAAAAAAAAAGAAAAAGAGAGAAAGCCCTTAACTCATTTTATTAAAGGTCACAGAAACCCTGACACCAAAGCCCAACAAGGACATTATTAGAAATTTCAGGCCAATCTCATAAACATAAGTAAAAAATTCTAAGCAAATTGTTAGCAAGTTGATTTTTACAACATACACGATGGATAGTGCATCACGACTAAATTGGACTAATTCCAGGAATGAAACATTGTTTCATATTAGGTAATTCATTGTTTTATTTCACATCAACAAGCTAAAGAAGAAAAATAATATACTTACCTCAATAAATACTCAAAAGCTACTTAGAAAAATTAAATCAGAAATGTGTTCTTTAAAAAACTCATACAACTAAGAATGGAAGGCATTCTTAAAGTCTCATAAAACTAGCAATGCTTAATCTGATGATAAAATATCTGTTTTTAAAAACCTACAAAATGGCTTGGCGCAGGGGTCCCACACCTCTAATTCCAGTGCTTTAGGGGGCCGAGGCCGAAGGATTGCTGGAGCTCAGAAGTTTGAGGCTGCAGTGAGCCATGATTGCACCACTGCCCTCCAGCTTGAGTGACAGAGTGAGACCCTGTCTCTAAAAAAACAGCAATGAGGTGGTGGGGGGAACTGTGGAAACATCACATTCAGTACTGAACTGTTGAACATTTTGCCTTTGTGTTGAGGAAGAAGACAGTCAAAGTCTCAATAGGTTTTAGTTTCTACAGACTTTGATACGTTGATTATAACATTGATATGAAAAGGCAAAGACAGTAATATTCAATATATTTTTTAATGAAGAAGAACTTAGATGGAAGGACTTGTGCTACCAGAGTTCAAGATTTATTGAAAAGCAACAATAAAAAGCAACAATAATTTAAATAGTCAAATAGTGGCACAAAGATAGATAATGGAACAGAATTGAAGATCCAGAAATAGACCTAGACATAAAAGACAATGATTTCAACCAAGTCACTACAGAGAAGTAGAGAAAGTGCGATTTTTTCAATAAATGGTATTGGACAATTGGATGTAATATAAAGTAAAATGAAACTTAGCCCTTTTTCCACATTATGTATAAAAAATAATTTTGAGTGACTTGTAGATCTAAATATGAAACTCAATGTATTAAAGCATCTTCACGATTTTGAGGTAAGAAAATATAGTGTAAATAATTAGGACATACAAAGCAGTGAAGGAAAAAATTGGTTAGTAGGATTTCATTAAAAATAAGAATGTCTGTTTATTAAAGGCAACATTAAAATAATGAAAAGACCAGCCACAAAGCAGGAGAAGATACTTGCAATAAAGATATCATATCCACAATCTAGGAAAAACTCCTCCAAATTAATTAGGAAAAGACAACCTTGTTGAAAGATAGACAAATGACTTGGACAGATAGTTCACAACAGAGGCTATCTATGTGACCGATAAAAATGTACAAGGGTGCTCACCCAGGTACAATGTAAGGAAATGCAAATAAGGCACCTAAAATAAAATAGACTGACAACACTATTTTGCTCGTGGGGCAAAACAAAGAGAAAATATAAATTTACTAAGTATAATTTAGAAATGTGTGTGGAGGCAGGATAAGGAAAAGGGGGAATGGGTAGGGCTCACGTATGGCGAAGTAGAAATATCATTGCATTGGGGTTAGAACGGTCGTTCACATTTCGTTTCTTCTCTATTTAATGTGTGGCCTTGTGCAAACCACTCCATCTATCTGAACTTCAGTTTTCTCACTTAGTTGAGTATATAAAGAAAAAGAAATGCTCATACACTGCTAGTAGACATGTAAATCGGTTTGACCCTCCCTTCGGAAGTAGTTTGGATCTGTCATTTGAGGTTGAAGATATGTGGCATCCATCATCTACTGATCTGACTGGTAGGTGGATGTGTGTGCCCATCATGTGTGCAGGTATGTATATGTGAAATGTGTACACATGTGCACCAGGTGACATGCATGAGAGAGGTCACAGGAATTGTAGGCATAGTAGACACCTACCGGAAGCAACACAAGTGTGTATTAATATATAGCAATCGTAGAAGAAAGGAATAACACTTTCCATTATCCGAGTACTACATGGAGCAGTGTGAATGAATCTCATTCACAAGATGTTGAACAAAAGAAGCTGAAGTTCAGGGTTAACATGTAAATTAAAAAAATATCAAGTAGAGAAGGGTGTCTGTGAGGCTTCTGGTGTTCTGGCAATATATTTTCTTCTTGGGGTGAAATTGGTACAGACATTCGCTTTATGGTGATTCATTAACTTTGCATTTATATTCTAGATTTTTTGCTTCATATGTGTGGCACATATGCTTAGTCACAATGACTTAAAATGCCACCAGGAGAAGGAAGACTTCTTGAAACTTAGGGTTTAGTAGGCTCGTGGGGCAAAAATAAAAGAGAAAATATACATTTATGAAATATAATTTAGAAATGTGTGTGGAGGCAGGATAAGGGTAAGCGGGGAAGGGGTGGGGCTCACATATGGTGAAGTAGAAATATCATTGGACTGGGGTTCACATCTCGTTTCTCATCTGTTTAACGTGTGACCTTGTACAAGTCACTCTATCTCTCTGAACTTCAATTTTCTAACTCATAACGTGAGGATAAGAACACCTGCTTTTCTGTCTTGTAGGGTTGTTTTGAAGATAAGAAGTCTGAAGGACAAAATGTGTTTAAAGAGCTGTAAAGTGCTTTGCTCATGTTGCTAGGAGTAACCGTAGCATTGTTGTATCTGATATCGAAGAAAACATTTGTCAGAAGCTGGGGATGTTTGGCAGCATATGCAAATCTCTTTAAGACAGAGATCCTGGAAAGTCACTTGTCTTTCATATTCTCAGTCCAGGAAGAGAATGAAATAGATTAATGTTGACCCAGAGGGATATTTCTGATAATCAAAGGATATTCAAGGCTCAAGAGTATGGTGCATTTGTTATCCAGGTGTTAACAACTTTGAAAAACTGTAGAATTTTCATTGAGTATTTATGACTTTGCTTTGTATAGGCTCCAGCCTGATTGTGGACTGCAATATAACAGACACGAAGGATAATACAAATCTGCGATGCTGGAGAGTCAATAACACTTTGGTGGATATTTACTACAACGAATCCAAGCGAATCAGAGAAGGAGTGGAGTAGGTGTTTTGCGTTTCTGGCTTCGCTGAAAGCTCGCAAGAATTTCTCCTTCTAAATTAACTTAGTGTAACTTCTGCTGTTTCTAGATGGTTCTCTCTGCCTGCTAACCATTCCTTTTGTCTTCCAAAGAACTTCTCAGTGCTGTGTGTGGTCAAGCATCTGGTTCAGAGAAGAGTGAGATGTTCATGTGATCAATCTTGCCTGCGACACATTTAGGGAGATGTGGCCAAAGATGATATATGCCTTAGAGCAATAAGATTCATTTCTTGTGGACTACCACTTAAAACCTATCCCGTTGCCACTCAGTTATCTCACGAACCATAGGCCTTCAAGGCTTAAATAGCAAAACAAGCACCAACCTGAGAATTTCTTGTGGGAAGATGATATATAATCATTAACTGAGTGCTATGCACTCCATTTAGAGTGGTATAAATTGAGTGGTGTAAAATAAGACTAATGAAGTCAGAGGGGCAGAAGAACTTGTTGGGGTCATGCAGTGTAGACGAGTTACACTATGTGGAGAGGAATGGGGAAGGCCCTGTGGGACTGGGGATGGTGTCTAGGAAAACAGAACCACACCTCACCACTGTCTGAAAGAAAATGCAAATGTGGAGCTATACAACCTACACACCTCAGTGGGCCACTCAGTGAAGTATTCTTAAGGAAAAATGAGGGTCCAAAGTGTTCTCCAAGAAAATCCTTTATTTCCAGAAAAAAGAGATTATAAAATATTTTGGGTAAATACGAATCATGTGTTAATGACTGGCTCTTTTCTTTTGTAGAAACCATGTCCCTTTTCAGGAACATATTTTGTATACAGTAAACATAACCTTCTTAGAAGTGAAACTGGAAGATTACGGCCTTCCTTTCATGTGTCATGCTGGAGTGTCCACAGCATACTTTATATTAAAACTCCCAGGTAATGTTCCAGTGGGTTAACTTACTATTCAGAGTATTCAAGATGGGGGTCAGGAAACACAACTGAAAGAGAAGTGACATTCAAAGTTCAGTGTGAGGCAACAGGGTGCTGTTGAAAGTAGAAATCAGATATGAAATCTATGGAAAGCACATCCAATGGCTGCTAATATTCTTAGAGTGAGGCTGGGATTTATTGTAGCATATTCTGAAAGTGCCATATTGATATACGTTGAGATTTTATGTACCAAAGTAGAAAAAACAAACAAACCCAGAAACTGAACCTATTGAGCCTAATTGCTAAACTTTTGCAGGCATTTGCTTGTGACAGTCAGCTTTTAGATAATCGTAAATAACTTGATACATAAAATACTCGTATGTATTTTTACCTTGTAACTTTGCAAAATCATCTGAGGTTGAGTTCTGACATTTGAGGAGAAAGGCTTTCGATTCAACTTGTATGTCCAAATACAGTACAGAGTGTCCCGATTATCCATTGGAGGTAGAAAAGCCAGAGAACGGAGAGTGAAGTCAGCATATAGAGAACAACTTAACGTTCATAACATTTCCAATACCTTGTAAAATGCTGTGTGGTTTGCCATGAACTCTTTTTTTCCCTTGATTCTACGTATGAGTTTGTGTACGTATGAGTTTGTGTACATGAAAGAGAGAGGGCTTGGATCTGTTAGTTTTCCTTAGTGATCAGTTAAACCCATGTTTGCATGCATCTAGCTGAAGTTTCCCTGGAAATGTTTTACTAGAACTTAACACAAGTGAGTGATTGCATGGAGCTAGCAGATGTGCCTTTGACCCTGCTAAGCTCCTCACCTTGTAAGTGCCGCCACCTTCCTTAGTGCAGTTGTGAACATGGGTATGCATGTAGCAGCGTGTAGGTCTTGGGGTGCACGTTCTCTCCCTCACCTCTGCTCCCTGGAGGCCACTGTCCCTCTGGCCCCAGCTGCCTTAACTGTGAGCGAGAACAGCACCGCTTCCTCATCCTGGATCTGTGGGGAGACCTCCTGGGTTGCATCACATAGACAGACCCTGGAGCCCATCTGCCACCACTGTCCATTTTTCCTCTTCTCACTGGCTTTTCCTTGCCATAGACAATCACTCTCGATCACTTTCCCCAGCCAATCTTGTGCCCGCCATCTCGCTTTCTGGTACCTCTGGGTGATTCTTGAACCCCCATCATCTGTACTGCTTTTCTTTCTGCATCTTTGTCCCTGATAATCTTTCTTTTCATGGCATCAACTGTCATCCCCGGATAGGTGCAAACAATTTCCAATCCTCCAGCTGTATTCTCTCTTCCTGCACGGTGACCCTCCATTTCCTGCTGTGTGCAGGACTGCAAACACATTGGCTAAAGTCTGGAAACATATCTAAACACTCACACCTTCTGATTCTCTGCTTTTCTTACCTTTGTTCATGGGGACTCCTTATCTTCTACATTATCCAAGCTCAGAATCTGGGGTCATTTTGATGCCTCTCTTCTTCTCCCTCATGCGAAATCCACATAGGTTGCCAAGTTCTTCCCTACAACATCCACCAGCTGTATTGGTTTCTCATGTGCACTCCTACTAGCAAGCTGGACGGGGGGTGGCACCCACCCAGGACTTTAAGGGTCGGGTTTCCAGGCCCAGATCCTGACTTGTCCACATAATGAGCTATGTGAATACAGCACAGTCACTCAACCTCTCTGCACCCACATCTGCTCATCTGTGAAATGAGGAACCTAATAGTATCTGCCTTCAAGTGTTGTGAGAATCAATTGGAATTTTCTGTTTTTTTGCTTTATTGTTGTGGAATATTATAGAAATATACAGTAAAGGACACACAGAATGTAAGTATCACAGAACAAATAATTATATAGCAAGCACATGTGAAACTACCACCTAGATTAAGGAAAATACATCACCAGACCTGAAAATGTGCCACTCCTGATCAGAGAATCTCTTCTCTCTAGATAATCCCACCCTCGACTTTTAGAAAAGTCATTTCTTTGATTTTTCTATCTATATTGATATCTGTCAACTTACAGTTTAGCTTTGCCTGTTTGGAGCTTTATATTAACAGAAGTATATGGTGTGTTTTCTGTCTTAGGTGTGTGCAGTTCATCGGTACGTCAATAATGTAGCATGTGGTGTAGTGCATTTGAATTGCTGAGTTCTGTCTCATTGAATAACTAGGTCACAATTTATCTTTTTTTTTTGAGTTGGAATCTCACTCTGTCGCTGAGACTGGAGTGCAGTGACTGCTCCCGGCCACCGCAGCCTCGACCTGCTGGGCTCCAGCAATCCTTCCACCTCAGCCTTCCAAGCAGCTGGAACTACAGGCGCGTGCTACCATACCCGGCTAATTTTTTGATTTTATTGTAGAGGTGAGGTCTCGCCAAGTTGCCCCGGCGGGTCTCGAACCCGCGAGCTCAGGCAATCTACTCACCTCGGCCTCCCAAAGCGCAGGATTACAGGCTGAGCCACCGAGCCTGGCTCACAATTTATCCATTGTGCTAAAAATACGTGGTCATTTGAGTCGTTTTGAGTTTGAAACTACTAACAAGTAAAATTGCCATAAAAATTCTTGTCCATGTGTCTTGGTACCCATGTAGAAGGATTCTTCTATGATATATCATTAAGATGAGTATCTGTCGTTGATATTTCCATCTAATGCCATACTTCTCTCCAATGTGATTCACCAATATTGACTGCTAGGGATAACAGTGATGAGAGAATCCCATGAGATAATTTTGTAAAACAAGCACAGAGCCTGACATTCTGTGAGTTCTAAAAGACTGTTTATTTCTGTTAGTTCTGTTCTGGTTCCAGCCATTTTTATGTGCTGTTTGGATAATATATTAGTTGTCTAAGTGGTTTCTTTGCCTTGGGAATTTTCTCTGGTCTACTTTATCCTCGTGATTGTTGTAGAGTTGTCTTCTCCAAGGATGACTGTAACTCTGCCACTCCCCTTCCTGTACACTAATTAGTGTCGCCTCCTTACCCTGGGATAAAATGAAGCTTCTGGCTTAGCACTCAGGGCTCCCTGATGTGCTGTTCCCATTAGTTTCCTAGTAGTTCACCTGCCCCATGAAATAGAGAGTCAGATGGGAGACAAAGGAGGGTCTTCAGTGGGTCTGAATTGTGAAGAAGGTGGTGACTTTGGGACAAGTACAGAAATGTGCAGTGAGGACAGGGTAGTTTTTCACCCAGACTCGCCTTCTGGGTGAAAAACTACCTTACCTCTTGCTCCCCAGTAGATGCCAGCAGAAATACAGTGTGGCTTCAGCTAGGGAGAGAGACTCAGGGTCCACCCCAGAGAAAAAAGGGGGAAACTGATTGCAGGATGCCTTGGAGCCATTCCATGAGATCTGAAGTCGTAACAACTTACATCTTCCTCACTTAGAAGTTTTGAGTTTTTTATTTAGCAACCTAGACTGAAGTTGACCAATGTAGATTTCAATGCCAATACTAACTTACTGTGGACTATCTGGAAGCACTGTGTTCAGAAGGATTCTGAGGCCAAGATTAGGCTCGGAGGAACTACATGCTGTTACCAGGTAACACCTGTCAACACCTGTCAAAGTGGGGAAGTCCTCTGTCCTCTCTCTTTTAGGCTGGTCAAGAAGTTCACTAAATTAATCTTTGTTCCTGTCAACACTAATTTCACATCTCGCATGAGCGTAGTTTGGGTCAGGTTTGGAAAGAGCAGTTTGTTTCATGTGCCCTGAGTTATTAGGAAGCCCACCCTCTGAAATCCAAGCCTCTCGCGGGTTTCCTTGTGGGAGGAGTTCAGGTTACAGCTTCTCCATTTGACTTCCTTATTTTTGTCGATGACACCTCCAGATTTGAGTCATATTTCGCCTGTCTGAAGCAGGATCACTAGAAAGTTGTTTAGATCGAGTGTGGCCTTCTGTAAATTTCTTTAATCACTTGTTCTCAACTGCCATCTCAATTGGAGGCTGGTGTTTTGCCATATGGACTCAATGGCGAATACCACCTTTATCAAGGTATCTGGACATCAGCAGTGAGTTTTCTGTCGACTTGTACGACTTCAAAGCCTCAACTTTCTTTGAATGTATTCATAAATGTGCTATTTGCAACGTTATTATCTTTGAGCTCATTTACAGGGCAGAGGGTACCAATACTTCTGAATGCAAGGAATGATGAACCAACCCTAGAATTTCAGACCATCATTCCTATTTTCTTGCCGGGAGCTTTTTGAGTCTCATTAATGCTGTGGGCATCGTCTTCCCACCATGACGGTTTACAATACCAAGATCTATAAAATATACATTACATTTTTCCAGACAGGGTCCTCCCAAAGGAGAGGTGGCAGTGTTACTCCAAGAGGAAATTATAACAAGAGTTGGGAAAGGGCAAAGTGGAGTAGAAGGTGGGAAGGAAGGGAGAATCCATCCCGTGGTGGGAAGCCAGAGGTTCTAACAAGTGGTCAGGATCAGATTGGGCTCTGGCGTGCAGAGCAGCGGCTCTACACTGGCTGCACTGGGACTTTATCAATGAAGTTTCTTTTTGGCATCAAATGTGTTTTTAGTTATTGTGCCTGTATTTAAAGATATGCAAGTAGTTAATGGGAAAGCTTGAGACTTGAGACGTTTAGGACATGGTCTCGTCTAGGGCAGGCTGTGATTAGCTTTTTAATGAGTATCTATTAGCCACAATGGAAAACAGCATGGAGGTTCCTCAAAAACTAAAAATAGAATTATCATATGATCCAGCAGTTTTGCTGCTAAGTATACATCCAAAGGAAAGAAAATAAGTATGTCAAAGAGATATCTGCACCCTCATATTTATTGCAGCACTATTCATAATAAGCAAGATATGGAATCAAGCTAAGTGTCTATCAATGAATGAATGGAGAAAGAAAATGTGGTGTATATTTGCACAATGAAATACTATTGGTCCATGAAAAAAGAATGAAATCTTGTCATTCTCAACAACACGGATGGAACTGGAGGACGTTGCGTTAGGGGAAAAATAAGCCAGACACAGAAAGGCAAATATTGTGTATGCTCATTCCTATTTGGGAGCTAAAATAATTGATCTCATGGAGGTAGAGTGTAGAATGATGGTTACCAGAGACTGGGAGTGAGTGATAAAGAGAGGTTGGTTGATGGGTACAAATACAAGGTTAGAGAGAAGGAATAAGATCTAGTGTTTGGTAGCACAACAGGGCGACTGCAGTTAACAATAATTTACTGCCTATTTCAAAATAGCTAGAGGAGTGCAATTCGGAGTGTTTATGGCACAAAAAAAGATAAACGTGTGAGGTGACGGATGTCGGAATTACCCTGATTGGATCATTACACACCGTATGCTTGTATCAAAATAGCACACACACCCCACGTGTATGTACTACTGTTATGAACCCATAACTGAAAAAAAAATGAAAGTCCTCTGGGGGTCAAAAAAAGAACCTCCTTCCTGCCCTCCTTCCTCTATCCTTCCATCCAGTGAGGATTGGAGGATTAAGAAGCCAGAGAAGGAAGTGGCATGCGAGGTGGGTTCTAAGAATGGGAAGATTTCTCGTCCTCTCTCCTTCTTCCTCTTTTTCAGTTTTCTTCTTTCTAGAGGCTCCTTCTTCGGTGGCACAGGTGTGGGTCTGTGGTGAGGCCGAAAGCTGTGCTGCTCCTCTTCTTGGATTTGTAGGAGCATGTTTTCAGGGTTCCGGCAGAACTGGTTCTGCTCCCTGGCCATCTCCTACCCACCACTTGGGTTCATAATTGCTCTGAAATGTGCTTACAAGGCAGAGATGGCTGTGCACGCCCTTTCTGAGTCTCTACCTCTCAGACAGGCACCAGCCTGGACCCTGATGGCACAAAGTGGATAAGGTGAGAGTTTGGTTCTCGGCCGGTCTGTGGAGCCGGCAGGGGTGACTTCCCGGGGAGACAACGGATGGCTCTTTATTGATGACAGGAGTCCAGCTGCTCAGTTCAGAGCCACTGGAAAAGCAGTTGTAACAGTATTGTAACCAAGAATGTGCAACCGAGCCTCCTGGAGAATGTTCCAAGTGCACACACTCGAGCTACACCCCTGGACTAAGCAGAACCTGGACGTGTGTGTTTTGGAAGCAGTCCTCATGCAACTGGATCTGTGCTGCAGTTATCATCAGTGGCTAGGGCTCTTTTCTCATAGATTCCCAAGAGCCTGTTAGTTTTCTAGCATTTATGGTCCAGGTCGGATTAGTCTACTCCCACTCCTGTTATTTAACTTTAAAGAAATATTTAAGCAATGCCCTCATTGACACCAATGCATTTCCATTTGGCATTTATCATGCAGTCTGGATGAGTAAAGAATGTCCTTGACTCTTTGTATCATTATCGTACTTTCATTCTTTGCTCACTTATAGCTCCAGATTTTCGAGTTTACTTGATAGGAGGACTTATCGCCTTGACAGTCGTGGCTGTGTCTGTCTTGTACATCTACAACCTCTTTAAGATCGACATTGTACTGTGGTATCGAAGCTCCTTCCACTCTCCTGGGACTGTAGAAGGTAAGTGTGTGTTATCACAGAAAGATGCCTCATAACTGGTATCCTCTTACCTATATCCCCATTCTGAACATACTTGGTCATATTTTACTATGTTGTTGGCAAATTTAAGGAAGGACTGTTCCCTGGAACTTCCTAGGCTTCAGAGAAATGGTTTGTCCGTGATCACCAGCATCGTTCTGTGACGTAGGGCTTGCAGGCTAGTAGTGACTGAGTGAATATTTGCCAGACAGCAAGAGGAGACATCTTCGGGGTCCCGCTGCGGCCACGTCATGAAGTCCCTCACACATCGTCCTCCATCCATGGGGGGAAATTTATTCAAGAGCAAGGTGCTCTCCATCCTGACATGTCCCCAGTATAGTGGATGCTTGTGTAGGATCTGTGTGGTGAGAGAGGTGAGTTGACTCTTGTATCTGTTCCTAGGCCCTGAGCTTGGTGCCTGAAGGGGGTTAAGTCTCCAACTCTCAGATTTGGAGAGAGATGGACACGCGCTTAAGTGGGAGTTCTCCACTTCCTGTGTTAACTTAAAAAGATATTTCGTGTTCTTATATTTCTCAGCTATAGGAAGGACTAGAAGAGGACGGAAGGAAGAAAGAAAGAAGGGAAAGAGGGAGGAAGAAAGAGGAGAGAGCGAGAGACCAAAGACAGTGGTTGATAGTGGGCTTAGGTAGGAAAGAAGGAAGGAATGAAGGAAGGAAGGAAGGAAGGAAGAAAGGAAGGAAGGAAGGAAGGAAGGAAGGAAGGAAGGAAGGAAGGAAAGAAGGAAGGAAGGAAAAAAGAAAATGATCAAATTCTGCTTCATCAAGCGTGCAGTGGGAGTTCAAGCAGGGAAGGCATTCAGCTGGGCCTGGGGCACAGGGGGTCTCTGTTGCTTATCTGAAGATCAAAGCCAGTTGCCCTCCCCAACCCCGTGCTGGAGTTTTAGTCTGTGATGCCCATGTCCTACTCATGCCATTTGACCCAGGAATGCCCCCTGACACTCCAAGCGGCAAGCCTTTCCCACTGCGGTGTTTGCAACTCTCTGCGCTACTTTCTTTCTTGTCTCAGATTCTAAGTCCTTAAAAAATTAAGAAATCTGCTGTGGTGTCTTCTAATTAGATATAAAAATTAATATAAAGTTGAGGGCAACCCCTTCGGGTTCCTGCTCACTGTGGGAGCTTTTCTATCCTCTCGATGAATCTGGCTTTCTAAAATAAAATAAATAAAATAAAAAATAAAGCTGAAGACCCCCTGCATAGCTGACGTGCATGGAGATGCACACATTTATTATACCTTTCAATGAGATGCTTGCAGCGACAAAAGCAGGAAAGTTGGGGAACTGGGTATCCGGGCATGTTTTATGGGTAGCTAATACATAGAACAGGTTATTGATATTAAGTATCTGCTTTGTACACAAAATACAAGGCACAAGTTGTTGCCCACATGTCTGGTGAAGCATAGATGATCTAACTGGGATTTTATTTCAAATTAAGTTTCAGAATTCAGTTAGCAACCCTTGAGCCACGTTGAAAGCAACAACCTCCTATTTTTTTTTTTTTTTTTTTTTTGAGTTGGAGTCTCACTCCGTCGCCCAGACTGGAGTGCAGTGGCCGTTTCCAGCCACCGCAGCTTCGACCTGCTGGGCTCTGGCGATCCTTCCGTTTCAGCCCTCTGAGTAGCCGGAATTACAGGCACGCGCTACCACGCCCGGCTGATTTTTTGATTTATTGTAGAGATGAGGTCTCACTGCCCAGGCGGGTCTCGAACCCGCGGGCTCAGGCAATCCACTCACCTCAGCCTCCCAAAGGCGCGAGATTACAGGCTGAGCCACCGAGCCCGGCTCTAACAACCTCTTTTTAAGGACAGAATTCCACTGGGCTTTGTGGCTGCATCCCAAAGGGCCGCTGGCCCTGCAAACGGTCAGATCGGGTTGGGGGATCTCTAGTGTTGGTCGCGGTCCCTGCAGAGGCTGCCCTACCTGGGCCCCCTTGGGACTGGACTCCTCTCTGCATCTTTGAGTTCCATCCACCACCATGTATGTTTTCTGACACAGCTGTGAGTAGTTCTGCTGCTTTCTGTCATTTGACTAGCGGGGCCAGAATGGGTCTACGTGGTCTTCCTAAAACTCTGGCCCCTTGGCGTGACCCTCACCGACTCCCAGGAGCGTGACGACAGCCGTGGCTTCTGGGGATTGTGCAAGTGTGCAGGGAAGCTGCCAGTGAGGTCAAGTTTAGCAGGAAGAGAAAAAAGGAATAGTGACTCAACCCAGAGCAGGGGCTGAGGAGCAGAAGCGAGCAGGGAGCCCCGCCCTTGCCGCCCAAATTTTGTACAGTGGACTGAGGAATTGAAGATCTCGGCTGGAAGGCAGCCAGGGTCCAATGTTTCTCCCTTTCTTTCTTTTTTATTCAGAAAAGTATGCATGCACTTTGTGATTTCCTCTGTAGAAAACGACCCCCATAATACGTCTGTTAGTGCTGGCTTTAACTTTGAGCTAGTGATGAGACTCTGAGATTAGTCCCAGATTCTGTTTACAGCTTTGTCTCCATGGAGGATATTTCCCGAGTTATCTGGGGACCATAAAAGACGGCAAATACAAATGAGGAAGAGAGAGAAATGATGTCCTTCTTAGGATAAGCTGTTTCCCCCGACTAGCTTGGTTAAGCTTTGGAACACAGTTAATAATTGAGTATGTGTGACTCAGTTTTAGTAAGAGCCTTGATAGTCAGCAAGTTCTATGCGTTCTCTATCGAGTCACAGGTACTTTTAAAAGTCTTCTGTCAGGTGTGTGTGCATGTACAAGAATGGAAGGGTCAGCGTACGAATCCACTGAAAAGATCTGTATGTATTTTGCCTTAGGTCAGATAGGTCTCTAGAAAACAGGCATGTATGACAGACAGTCAAAACAGAGACAAAAGAGGCACCGTGGACAAAGGGAAAAAAGTCAAATGGGAAAATAAGTCAGAGTAGAGTTAACGTCAAGTCTTGGGCAGTTTTTAAAGGCGAATTGCAAGGTTCTTTATGTACGCTGTTCTAGAAACCTTTCAACGGTTCTTGAGAAAGCATGGCTTTTCCTGAGGCTAATTTCTAAAGGAAGTAATTTTTTTTATAGGGAGTTCTCATTTTAAAAGGATCTCGTGTAAGGAATCTTGTCCACAACCGTATTCCTGTGGTAGATGTAAACCGCATGCTGTATGTGTCTTTTTATTCTAGTGTCTTCTATGTGTGTTAGAGCTACAACCACCAAACCACATGTGACTCAGTAAAAGCATTTGCATGAAGGCCAATTCGAATCTGTCTGATTTTTCCACTGGTCTGGTTTGATCAGGCCTAAAATTTAGTAATGTCATATTGACAGAAAGCAGGGAATGGAGTAATCTTTAGGCAATCTTTCAGAAATATTAATTTCTACAAGTGAGCTTACTTATATGGATTTGCCAACAGTCAATAAGGGCATACAATTTTAAGGGAGTGGAAATAGGTTCTGCCTGTTTGTGGGAGTGGAGTGAAGTGCCAGAAGAACATGCAAGACTGGAAATATTGCTGGGGCTGTTTTAGGAAACTTGAGTCTGACACAGTTGCCTAAGATTAATCAGGGATAAGTTTGGTGATGGTTCCTGCATCCGTTTCTCATTTCAACCATGCCGAAGGGAACGGTGGGCCTGGGTTCTGGCCAAGGTTGTGCACTTACCAACTGGGAGACTTTAGAAGGGTCACACAGCTTTGCTGTTCTCAGCTTTGTGTCCTTACTCATAATCCAAGGAGACGACCATATCACTCATAGCTGATTGTGAGAGAAACAACTGGGAGATCCTGGAGCACTGTTGACCAACAAGACCCTTCAAAATCAGTATGCTGATGCCAAAAAAAAAAAAAAGCAAAAGGGGTACAACTTGATTTTTGACTGAATTGGTCAGTAAATTACGAATCAGTCATTGGAAAGTGACAAAAGTCTATGGCATTTTGAGAAAAAAATCAGCAAGCCCTAATCTATTCAAAAGCTTAGAAAGAAAGGGGAAAAGAAGGACTGAGAAATTGGGGGCCTTTTTATATTTTGAGTTTTGAAAAGAAGTGAGGTTTCCTTGCTGTCCTAATCTCTTTCTGATCCTGAAGTCAGACAGCAACAAGTATCTACATCCTCAGACACTGTGCTTTGAAACAGCGGACGTGGAACACTTGCTGGAGAGAGTATGCTTTGCAAAAGTAGTTTGTTAATCAGTGGGACAAAGAGAAGCAGATTGAGAGAAGAGAGAGACTAATGGCAGAGTCTGCGACAGAGGTAGCCCTGAATGTTTGCTGTAGGTCGGGGCCAGGAAATGCTGTGTTTCCTGGGAGGCTGCCGCTGTCTGTGGTGGCTGGAGCCTCAACCCAACCAGCCTTTCATCATGCAAAAGAATGAATGTGAGCATGCTTTCAAGTGGGAAAATTTGATTTCTTCCCCAAAAGTTCAGAAACATAAGAACTTCAGGAAAAGTTGCTCTTTTTTTCGATTTTTTATGTAAAAAGAAAAAAAAAATCCCCTGGCTTTGGAAAGTCAAATGTGTGACATTGAATTTTGTACAGAATATTCACTTGCTTGAGTGGTGATCTGCACGAGTGACGTCTAAGATTCCACAGGAAGTTTTAACTGTGTTGGGTTGTTGCCACCTCTACACACAAATTGAATCTCGCTTCTGTACCTGCTCTATGATCCCACTTCATTAAAAAGCTGTGTCTGACCTGTCCCCAGCATAGACGTGACTTCTCTAAACCTCTGTAAAATCAAGCTCCGTTCAGATGTTTGTTGCATACTGACTGAGACCTCCTCTACTCAGGTCCTGCACCGGGGACTCAGGCTAGAGCAGGGAGCCAGAGTCTTCACTCTCCCACGCCTCCCTGTGGTGTCAGGCCGGGGAGACAGAGAAAGAGTGTGCATGCGTGTGTATGGCTGTGTGTGTGTGTATGATTGCACATGTATGTGTATGTGTGTGTGGCTGTGTGTGTATGTGTATTACTGTGCATGCATGTGTGTGCGTGACTGTGTAGGTTTGCGTGCATGTGCTTGTGTGTGCACGTGTGCAGGTGCAAGAATGGGGAGAAGGCCTAAAAGTCACCATGGTTGGCGTGAGAACTGATGGAATGAGAACAAGCGATGTGTGACCTGTAAAGCTCTGCATGCATTTTTTTTTTGAGTTGGAGTCTCACTGTCGCCCAGACTGGAGTGCAGTGGCCGCTCTCAGCCACCGCAGCCTTGACCTGCTGGGCTCTGGAGATCCTTCCGCCTCAGCCTTCCGAGTAGCTGGAACTACAGGCACACGCTCCCATGCCCCGCTAATTTTTTTTGATTTATTGCAGACATGAATTCTCACCTGCCCAGGTGGGTCTCGAACCCGCGGGCTCAGGCAATCCACTCACCTCAGCCTCCCAAAGGCACGGGATTACAGGCTGAGCCACCAAGCCTGGCTTGCACGCATTTTAACTACCATTATTTAGACAAAAACTAGAAGAATACAAGATTTTCCCTTCCCTTGTTAATCTTAGAACCAGCCCTTTCCCAAAGTTCCATGAAAAGGACAACTTCCCTCTCTGGCACCCATTAGGTTGGCTTGGAATTTCCAAACAGCCCAAAGCTTGGAATCACATTTTCCAATGAGATGCCATGGTCACTTCTCTTCCCGCACAAACCCTCCAGCCCTGCCGAAGCTCCTGGTTTGTTCATAGGCCTCCCGAGTAGGACACGACATTCCCCAACTCCTGTGCCCTCACAAGCTGTTCACCCAGGCTGTTTACCTTCCACTCTTGACCTTTGCTTCTTTCTAAATGCTCCATGCTTTTCAGTCCAGGAGCCATCCCCTGTCCTTGGTGAATTTTGTCAAGCACTCCAGGTGATGGGAATTTTCCTTTTTCACTGTCCCCTCCATTCATTCAGCTTTGCCATCTCGTGGGGCCTCATGTTGCTCTATTTCCGTGTACGTGAACGGTCTGGCCAGATAGATCCTGTATCTCTGCATTGGCCGGCACAGGGACTGCTCTTATGGATGCTCAGTAAGTTCTGGCTCTTTCTGACAGTGAGGACACGTGCTGTTGGGTGTGCCTTCTCAGTATGGCACTGCAGATCCTAGGGTCTGGTCCGATGCTCGTTCCTTCTGTGATGCGAGCCTGTGAAATCGCAGTGATGGAATTTACAGATGGATCTCAGTGAGGAGGGATTCATTCCGTTTTGCCTGAAGCAGTTAGGACAGTCCTGCATTGCACAGGATCACCGAGGGTGACATGGGTAGATGAGTAGAGGGTAGAGTCACCTGCTCTTCTGTTGTTTATTTGAGAGACCCTTTTTTGGTTTGTTTTAGAGACAGGGACTTCCTTTGTCACCCAGCCTGGAGCGCGATTGGTATAACCAGAGCTCACTGCAGCCTCAAACTCTTGGGTTCAAGTGATCCTCTCACTTCAACTTCCCAAGAAGCTGGGATTACAGGCACACGCCATCATGCCCAGCTAATTTTTTAAATTATTCTTATTTAGAGACAGTGTCTCTCTCGGTCATCCAGGCTAGAGTGCAGTGGTGTGATCACAGCACACTGCAGCCTCAAACTCCTGGGCTCAAGCAAATCCTTCTGCCTCAGCTTCCCAAGTAGCTGGGATTATAGGCACGTGCCACCGAGAAGGCGAGTCTCCTGCTTTTAATTCTCATTTCCGGTCACATTACAGGGAGTGGTGGACTTAGAATCAAAGACTTGGGGAGGAATTAGGAATCGCAGAAGTGATGCAACTTTTTCAGTCTTGGCTTCATTCTCGTGTAATGGGGGTAAGACCACCTCCTTCAGAGGTTAATTTGTGAGATAAGGTGTTATAGTGTGATTGGGCCTGGTACCCAGTCAGCCACCTGGGGATTCCCAAGTCATTACCCCAGGCCAGAGGACATCATGGTAGCAACTCAGGTTCCCACTTTGTTAACATGAAAGAATATGGTAGGAACCGTTCCGTGAGCTTGTTCCATTTCCTTTTCAGATGGGAAGCTGTATGATGCATACGTCTTATACCCCAAGCCTCTCAGAGAAAGCCAGAGCCATGCCGTGGACACACTGGTGTTGACGATCATGCCGGAGGTGCTGGAAAGGCAGTGTGGATACAAGTTATTTATATTTGGCAGGGATGAATTCCCTGGACAAGGTGTGTTTCAAGTGAGGTCCAAAAAGAAATGGGCGAAAAAAAAGGAATGAAATCTCTCTTTCTCCATTCACTTTACGAATGGCAGCAACTCTGCTTGTCCACCCCACAGAACCACAGAAGGCTTGTGACCAGAGTCGCGGGGCCCGGCCGACTCCAGGCCAAGCTCTCTGCCCTCACGGGCTCAGTCTTGCACTGCAGTGCTGGGATTCCTGCTGCAATACTGTGAGCCTCACTTTGGAGTAAGGATATGGTTAACCCATTCCCGTGAACAAGCGGCCAGTGACGCGGTCGTGGCCAAAAGAGTGAAAGGTGACAAGTGGTCATTTGCCCTCGTGTCACCAAGACTAACTGATGAGTGCTCTCCATTTGTCTGAATATGCAAATCTGGTCATGCTTCAGCTGATTACATAAACCTCAACTCTACCCCCTCTTCTGCTATCCAAATAAGATGGAATTTTTTTTTTTTGAGTTCGAGTCTCACTCTGTCACCCCGACTGGAGTGCAGTGGCCGCTCCTGTCCACCGCCGCCTTGACCTGCTGGGCTCTGGCGATCCTTCCGCCTCAGCCTTCCAAGTGGCTGGAACTACAGGCACGCGCGGCTAATTTTTTTGATTTATTGTAGAGATGAGGTCTCGCCAAGTTGCCCAGGCAGGTCTCGAACCCACAGGGTCAGGCAATTCACTCACCTCGGCCTCCCAAGGCGCGGTATTATAGCCCGGCCTAAGATGGAAGCTTTACACTTACTTTTGCCATTTCACAGGAGTGTGACTTTGGGTAATTCAGTGAGCATCTCTGAACTTCAGATGTCTCATCTGCAAAATGGAAATAAGAATGCGTCCTTGACTCAGTTGAGAAGATTAAGTGAGAAACCTGAGGAGGGCCCAGCACAGAGCCTGAACACCTTAGACGCCCATCGCAACAGTCCTCTCCTACCTGCTTTGTCCTTTTTCTTTTAAGGCTAACACAGTGAAATGGCTGACATCTGAAATGAACATGCTTTCCTAGAATGTTTCCATCCAGTCACTTATTCAACAATTATTCACTGAACACCTCTACGTGCTGCACACTGTTCTAGGCACCAGATACACACAAATCAGCCACGCAGAAGAACCTATCCTCAAGGAGGTTACAGTCTGTTCTTACATCCTAGGAGAGGCAATTGCAGACCGAATCACATCTGCAGAGCTGGGTATCTTTGAAAACCATCCCCTCCTTTCCTCAAGCAACAATCAGGGTGGGTTATCTGGTTTCTAAATTAGTCACATAAATCCTGGTCATTTCAATAACTCTAAAGATCAAATACAAGAGGAACATAGCAATGAGCTAACTACATGTTTCCCGTCTTTTGAAAATCTATTTATATTTGAAAAATGTGTTCATTATCTAATATATGCTAGGCTTCTGCTAGTCTTAGGATACAAAGTTAGACATGATGACATACTTGTTGGCGAAGGAAAGTGACATATCAACAAGTCACACATACACAAAAGTGACTCATGACTGTAGAGAACCAAGGAAGACCGGGAAGGCTTCACAGAGGAAGTGACAGAGGTTTAAAAAAAAATGAAAAACTTTTGTTAATCCATTCCTAAGTCACACTTATCTTAAAATCCATATTCTCTTCTCGGAGCCCATTTATAACAATCTCAGGAGCATTATGACTCGGGCTGTTTTTTTTTTGAGTTGGAGTCTCACTCTGTCGCCCAGACTGGAGTGCAGTGGCTGCTCCCGGCCACCGCAGCCTCGACCCAATGGGTTCCGGCGATCCTTCGGCCTCAGCCTTCCGAGTAGCCGGAATTACAGGCGCGCGCTACCAGGCCCGGCTGATTTTTTGATTTATTGTAGAAATGAGGTCTCGCTGCCCAGGCGGGTCTCGAACCCGCGGGCTCAGGCAATGCACTCACCCCAGCCTCCCAAAGGTGCGGGATTACGGGCTGAGCCACCGAGCCAGGCTAACTCGGGCTGTTTTAATCACGTGCTCTTCTGAGTTTTCTTTCTTTATTTCCAGCCGTGGCCAATGTCATCGATGAAAACATTAGACTGTGCAGGAGGCTGATCGTCATTATAGTCCCTGAGGTGCTAGGCTGTGGCCTGTTAAAGAACATGTCGGAAGAACAAATCGCGTTCTACACTGTCCTCATCCAGGATGGAATAAAGGTCATTCTGATTGAACTGGAGAAAATCGAGGACTACACAGCCATGCCGGAGTCGATTCAGTACCTCAGACAGAAGCATGGGGCCATCCAGTGGAGCGGGGACTTCACAGAGCAGTCACGGTGTGCCAAGGCCAAGTTTTGGAAGAAAGTGAGGTACCACATGCCACCCCGCAGACGTCCATCGCCCTCTCCTGTCCAGCTGCTGCAGCACACACCCCGCAGCCACAGGGAAGGCAGGTGGAAGGACGGCACAGGATTTGTCACCCACTGATGGAGAGTTTGCCATCACGAGGTGGCTTACTGTTGGACAAGGATGCAAGGATGCATGTTATCGGGTTGTTCACCCCTGGAGCTTGCAGTTATGAACTTGTGAGAGAGTCTGCACTTGTTTGTTTTGTTTTGATCATTGCTACTTCTTTACTGAAAGTCACGGCTTCTACATAAGGTTCTTGTTAACTTACCGACTTGCAGACACCCACGAGCCCTCACTGAGCACTGGGTGGATACAGCATTCGGGTCCCTTGGGAACGTGATGCAGGGTTGTAGAGATGGAATTTGACACGTCAGAGAGTTTGCCCTCGATGGGACACCTGTGAGGCCTGAGATGGAAGCCTGGGCTGTTGGAGGCAGGAGGGTAGTCTGGAGCTGGGAGGACTGGCAAGGATAGTGATGCTTTGTCCACCTGCTGTCCAGGGTCCACAGATTCCCTGTCCTCGGGTAGCATGGGTCGCATCTGTGTCACTCTGCCAGTGCACAGAAGAAGCTGTGGCCGCAGTTTTAGCACACTGCTGCTGGAAGCAACTTAGAGGTCACCTAGATCAGGGGTCCCCAACCTCCATGCTGCAGATTCATACCAGTTCGTAGCTAGTTAGGAACCAGCCACACAGCAAGAGGTGAGAAGCAGATGAGCAGAGAGCTCCATCTACTGTCAGATCAGTGGTGGCATGCGATTCTCATGGAAGGGAGAACCCTCTTGTGAACTGCGCCTGTGAGGGATCTAGTTGCGTACTCCTTATGAGAATCCAGTGCCTGATAATCTGAGGTGGAGCTGAGGCGGTGACTAGCAGTGAGGTTTGACAGCACCCCTGCTGCCTGACCTTGGTTAGTGGAAAAATTGTCTTCCCTGAAACCAATCCCTGATGGTGGGGAGTGCTGCTCAGTGTCTGAAGGGCTCATGGTGGAGGGTGCGGCCCAGTGTCTGGGGGGCTTTTAGATGCTAGGGAGCCCACATCTCTCTTTCAAGAAGTTGTATTCCTAGGTGACCTGGTATGACATAGTTGATGATCATTCTACTGAGGCTCTGACTCGACATTGGGCCTGTCCTTATTTTATATAATATTCGTTTCTTCAAAATTTAGTTTTGGCAAAAAAGGTTGGGGACTGCTGACCTAGATTATGAGGACCCCTTGGGGTGTGGCTGCAACTGTTCTTTGCTCATACTCCCAGTAGGCTTGTGCTTTGAGATACGGTATCTGTCAATTCAAAGGAAGCAAGAATGGGTTTTCTTTTTTTTTTTTGAGTTGGAGTCTCACTCTGTTGCCCAGACTGGAGTGCAGTGGCCGCTCCTGGCCACCGCAGCCTCGACCTGCTGGGCTCCGGCGATCCTTCCGCCTCAGCCTTCCCAGTAGCTGGAACTACAGGCACGCGCTACCACACCCAGCTAATTTTTTGATTTACTGTAGAGATGAGGTCTCGCCCAGTTGCCCAGGCGGGTCTCGAACCCGCGGGCTCAGGCAATCCACTCACCTCAGCCTCTCAAAGGCGCGGGATGACAGGCTGAGCCACCAAGCCCGGCTAAGAATTGGTTTTCTTTTCCTTTGAGGGACCTATGTCAGCCAGAAGTCTCAACAGTTAGCATCCAGAGATGATATAATTCTAGTCCAGGTGAAACCATGTAAGCTTCCAGTGAGCCAGTGTGCCCTCGTCACGGGCCAGTTTTGATTTAACAATTCACAAAGTTTTGTAAGACTAAAAGTTATCTGTAAACCCGTGTCGCTGCCTTCCACAGCCCTCGTTTGAGGAAATTCCATATAGTCCAACCTGCTCAAGCCGAGGCTGGCAACACTGAGACTTAACAACTGTCGCTCACCAAGGAGTGGTCGGTGGGACTGGAAGGGAGACAGCCCATGAGCAGGCCAGACCCCCGCGAGAATGGCAGCAGGAGAGTGAGTTGGGAGATCCATGACCCTGGGATGGAGTGGAAAGCAGGGTGGGTTGGGAGGAGCTGTGCCCCTCATTCATGGAGGTGGGTACGGTCCGGTGTCTGGAGGGCTCTTAGATGCTAGGGAGCCCACACCTCTCTTTCAAGAACTTGTATTCCTAGGTGACCTGGCATGACACATTTGAAGATCCTTCTCCTGAGGCTCTGACTCGACATTGGGCCAGTCCTTATTTTATGTAATATTAGCTTTTCAAAATTTAATTTTGGTGAAATTGATGAATGCCACATTGGTTCTTTTAACCATTTTCAATGTACGGTTCAGCGGCATTAAGTGCACTCATGCTGTTGTACAACCATCACCTCCATCCATTCCAGACTTCGTCTTCCCAGGTGGAAACCCAATACACATTAAGCTCTAATTCCTCGTTTCTCCCTCCTCCCAGTCCCTGGAAATGTCTACTGTACTTTCCTGGATGCCTCATTTGAGTGGAATCATACAGTACTTGTCTTTTTGGGACTGGCTTACACTTCGCTTAGCATGATGTCCTTTCTCAGGGTTCAGCCATAGTATGTGGTTTCTGTGTCACTATTCTTACCCGATCCCTCCTTTCCTTCTTTCTTCCCTCCTACTTGAAGGGTACACCTAGGGGGCAGCAGCCGCTGCTCTACCTCTGGACAGTCTCCCAAAGTGATAAGCTCATGAAATGTCCTTCTGATCAGGTGTCTGTCGTTTATTTGCACCTTGGTTTCTCTCTCCAATCAAGGGACCATAGTTCTTGGAGGATTTGCTCATTTCTTTAAAACAAGCTGTTTCTCCTGTCTCATCCAAGAGGAAAGCGATCGTACGGATTGGTCCCTCCCTCTGTCCCGGTATTCTCTGCCGGTCTTTCTGCTCGGGGTTGGTCTCTGGTCTGCAGTGCCCCAGGGGCGGCTGGGGCTGACTTATGATCTTTGCTCTCCCTTATGTGGAGTCAACATTCTGATGTCTGGCGCATGAGACTTGGCAGTGCCAGGAAACCCTCTGAGAGTAGGTGGTGCCCTCTCTGGTCATTTGACTGACCCGTGGGCAGTAGAGTCTGGGCCACGATGGGTGAGTGGTCACTGGCTCGTGGTCTGGTGATGATTTGGGGAACCCCCTTGCCATTCTGATGTGGGGGCATCCCAGCAGTCTGCCCCTCCCTTCCCAGCCATTTCCTCCCTTAGGGTGAAGGACAGTGTCAGGAGAGTGGGAGAGAGACTGGGACGTGTCTCCTCTGAGGGGTTCCTGGCAGGCCTGTGGACTTCAGAAAACGGATTCTCCAGTGAGTACTCATTTATAAACGAATGACCACACTCATAGGACATCAGTCTGGGCTGTCAGCAAAAAAGAAAGCCAACCCATCAGAAGAAATCTCTGACTTATGGGAGGTCAGAGTAGTTGGTAAATTCCTTAACTGGCATTTTATGTTTAAGTAAAAAACTTCCCTCTCTCCAATACGTGTCTTCAGTTCTTTTTGTATGAGAGTATTACAGATGTATTACTAATGTCATGACACTAATAAATTATATCAGCACATTAACATTTGATTTTTGTCAGAATGAAGTTTACATCCTACATGAGAGCTCCCTTCTAAGGGGACTGCCTTGTCACATATTCGAATGCTGGACAGATGTTCGGGTTTGAATACTTTCTATTGTCAGCCTCTTGCTCTGATTTGGGATCTGTAAAATAAAGTCACACATTTCAAAGGATGAATAAGTCTCCTCTGACAGCAGCAAGTCCTTCTGTTTTTAACTGTGGCTCCTCTTTGATAATTTGATGAAAGCCATGTCATTGGCTCTACAGACATGTAAAATCTTGGCTACAACTTCAGAAGGTTGCAGACTTTTTCAAGTCCATCGCTGGGATCTTCCAGCAGGTGCACAGGCCCTGGACAAGGATCCCTGCCCTAGATGGTCTCTCGTGTCTGTATTCATGGGATGTGATCTCAGAATTTTAAAGGATTCCATGTAGAGGTGCAGTGATCCGCAAACTGGATAAGTCATTTGTAGTCCTCCCAAGAATGATTCAGAGAGTAATGCAGATATAGAATTTTAGTGCTGTTTTCACAATTATCCAGGCCCAGAGCTTTCCAGCTAGTGTGCTGCAAAGTAGCCCAGGTTTTTTGAGGTATTTCTTCGTGGAGTGTCTGAGACTTAGAACTTTTCTGCTGCCCTCGTTGTTGTTTTACTCATTTCTCTGTGTGCCACGGTGTGAAAAAGACTGGGAAATGTAGATTCTACTCCAGCTGTTCCATTCCACCATGGAAGAAACTGAGACCTGGGAAAGGGATGTGACTAACTAGAGCCACCTGGGAATTTGTGGCAGTGCCAAGACCTGATCTGGTCTTCTAACCATGTTGTGGTTCTCACCCCACAGTGAAGTACCCCAACTCTCTCAGTTCTGCGACACCAACCGCTGACTGGAATTAAGTCAAACACCATTGTAAAAATCTGGTAACATTTCTACAAGTGCACAACGAAGGCTTGATTGACTGAAGAGTTTGCGTATGTTTGGTTTGTTTTATTTGGTCTCATTTTTGCCCGGCAGTGAACGAATCAGTCACGTTTAGGTGCACATGGGATTGAACATTTAAGACAGAGAATTTTTTGAATGAGTTTTGTCTCCTGATTGGATGCTTCCTAACTGCTAGGGGTTTTTAAAGATGAATGATGTCACTGAATGAGGTTATGTCTCAATTACTCTTCTTCCCTGGTTCCGGGGCAAATCGATCAAGACACACCTCTAAGCTGAAGCACTGCAGTTAACTGAATTTCACCTCTTGTCTGGGGTCCCACTGCCTCCTAAGAATTGAGGAACCTGGAAGTTGTGTACCTGGTAGTGAACAGCAAGAAGGACTTGGGCCGTCCTCTTCAGGACAGATTAAAGGTGCAGAGGCATGCGATGTCCGTCATCTCACTTCATCCCAAAGGTGGCTGTGCTCGGGTCCCACTTGTGTGGTTTCATGCCTGGCTCCCCGAGCAAAGCCGTTGTGTCTTGAAGCACCATTTGAACAACCCAGCTATGTCCGTGACAGCACCATTTCCTGCATAGGTGAAGCCTTCCTCCCTAGAACTAGGTAACCCCAGAA